CCAGCCTTCTTGAGAATTATAGACCAATCTCCCTTTGCTGAGTCACCTGTAAAGTCATGGAATCTATCATAAACCAATCCATCACCCTCCACTTAGTGACAAATAACCTACTCTCTAATAAGCAATTTGATTTCAGGAAAAAATTGTCATATAATCTGCAACTCATACACTGCAAAAACATTTGGACCTCTCAACTCAACCAGGGTAAAGCAATAGTTGCAATCTACATAGACTTCTGCAAAGCCTTTTATTCAGTGGTACATGACAAACCTCTTCTTCTTCTTCTTCTTCTTCTTCTTCTTCTTCTTCTTCTTCTTCTTCTTCTTCTTCTTCTTCTTCTTCTTCTTCTTCTTCTTCTTCTTCTTATTATTATTATTATTATTATTATTATTTATTGTAATTTTTCCTTTTCTAAAACACTAATACATGTTCAAACAGACAGTGTCATTAATTATAGAAATCGGATTAACAGTTCATATAATCACCACATTATATACATATACATATAAATACTTATTCAACTTTCATATAAATATTACCTATTTTTGTTTCTGTTATCTATCCACCTATACCATTTTCCTCACACTGCATAGTATTCTGAATTGTCTTTTTCTCTTAATTCTAAAGTTAATTTGTTCATTTCGGCACATTCAAATACTTTTTGAATAATCAATCCCTCTGGTGGTAAATTTTGTTCTTTCCAATATTGCGCGAATGCGATTCTTGCTGCAGTAAAATCAAGTATCTTATTTCTTTGCCATATTTGGTTTTTAGTATACCCAGGAGAAATGTATCCGGAATCAACTCATGCCCCAAAACGAGGAAGTATTGGATCAAAATACAACACTGGTTACAAGACCTAACAAATTGCAAAATTGAGTTGAGTTGGTACATGACAAACTTCTGTTAAAACTAAATTCCTATGGCATTTCTGGATCTTTGCACAAGTGGATAGCTACATTCCTATCAAACAGATAACAAGTAGTTAAAATTGGAAATGCTATATCAAACTCTGCACCAGTTAACAGTGGTGTTCCCCAAAGCAGCATTCTAGCACCAACACTCTTTCTGCTCTATATAAATGACCTTTGTGATCATATTACAAGCAGCTATGTCCTCTTGGCCGACAATGTAAAACTATTTAACACCCCAGACAATTCTACTACCCTGCAAAACGACCTAGATTATGTATCTGAATGGTCAAACAATTGGCAACTCCAAATCTCTGCTAACAAATGCTCAGTCTTGCACATCGGCAATAAAAACCAGAACATCAAATACAAGCTGGGCAGAAACAATCTAAAAGATGACCCCCACTCTGTCAAGGACCTAGGAGTACTCATTTCAAAAAATCTAAGCCCCAGAGCTGTAACAACATTGCTAAAAAGGCACTAAGAGTTGTCAACCTTATTTTACGTAGTTTTCTCTCTGGTAACACTATACTTCTAACTAGGGCATACAAAACCTATGCCAGACCTATCCTTGAATACTGCTCAATTGCCTGGAACCCACACTGTATTTCAGACATTAATACTTTAGAAAGGGTCCAGAGGTATTTTACAAGAAGAGTACTCAACTCCTCTGCTCACAATAAAATTCCTTATACCACCAGGCTTGAAATTTCAGGCCTGGATAACCTTGAACTATGCCGTCTACATTCTGACCTAAGATTAATACACAAGATTATCTACCATAACGTCCTACCTGTTAATGACTACTTTAATCTCAACCGCAATAACACAAGAGCTATCAATAGATACAAACTAAATGTTATCCGCTCTAATCTTGATTGCAGAAAATACGACTTCAGCAATAGAGTAGTAAATGTCTGGAACACTCTACCTGATCCTGTTGTTAGTTCCTCTAACCCCCATACCTTTTACCTTAAACTGTCTACCGTAGATCTTACACATTTTTTAAGAGGTCCCTAAGGGGGCGTGCATAAGCGCACCAGTGTGCCTACCATTCCTGTCCTATTGTCCCCATTTATATGTACTCATTTTATGTGTTTATGGCTATGTTTTACTTATTTATATCCATTTATTTTTGCCAATTTTTATGTGTCTATGTCTATGTCTATACTGATACTTGTGTCCTTGTAGTTGTTGACAAATAATAAAATAAATAAAATAAATAAATAAATATCAGTGTTTAAGAAATTATGAGCTGGGATAGCCATAACAAGTCAGCCAATGGGAACTGTTTGGTGACTAAGAAACAGGATTTGTTGTGAGCCATGTGATACGGTTCGGAGCCTCGGTGTGGCTTAGTTTGACTGATCTGTATATATATCTATAAGAGTTGGTTTGTCCTTGCATTATTGCTTCTGTGATTTTGTGTTCTGTGCTTCTGTGCTTCTGCTTCTTGTCCTTGTACTTGCTGCCATGTTGCAAGAGCTGTATGGGTATTGTATACATGCATCATGTTTTATATTATTTTTTTTAAGTTTAAGTTTACTTTATTGTTATTGCACCTCGTACAATGAAATTAAATGCCATTTTCAATGTACATCATACATAAGAAAACTATAAAACACACACATCCTTCACATTCTACACAATTGAATTGAAAACCCCTGATACTGCATTATTACTATTATATATAAACAAGTTTCTTCTATAAATGAATCCTGCTGAATTATTTACTTGTGTGCTGGTTGGATTGCTGCAAACTCTAACACACTACATGACCCAGGCCAATAGAGGTGCCTGAGCAAGGGACCAGTGTGGACCGGTAGTCATTCCAAGTCGGGGCTACACTATAATTCAACATAAAGGTCTATAACTGAGAGTTCAGTCTTTCTTTTGCTCTTTTGGGAGATCTCTCAAAACAAACAAAATCAAACTTTATTTTAAAAGCAGGGTATACATAATCTTTACATTAAAAGCAAGTAATATTTTGGGCAGATCTCAAGATGGCAGCATTCTGCTAAACCCTCAGTAGTGAGTCAGAAGGCAGACTAGCTCACAAAATGTTAATAAAAAAATATTCTTGGACATAACATTAATTAGAAATTCAAAAAGGCTTGGGCATAGAAATCCCAATTTATATAGAACCATTAGTACAAGACCAATAAAGCTTAACTAGCACCACATAGGAAAATAATTTTAACAAAGTTTTCCACCTAAACCTATTTACTGATTTCTTATAGAGAAATGTGTTCTTGAAGCAAAAGTCTTCTGCTTGCTTTTCCTGGATTTTCTCAGCTTTCTTGCATATGCCGATTTTTAATAAGAGGCTCAGAAGGGCTATGTAAATTCTCTCCTTTCCCTAGTATCCAGCTTTTTCTCCTCTTTCAGTTCTATTCTAGGCTTTAAAATGACCAGTATTTTCCTCTACTCTGAGCTGAGAAGGAAGTGTTTTTGTGAGCCTGAGTCATGCCTTACTTGTGAATGTGGATTGAGGATGTCATAGCTTTTCTGAGAGAATGCATATTCAGCATGTCTGAACTCTTGTCAGCTGGCAAGGAAGCTTCATTTGCAACACTTGCATCATTTCCTCTGGAAAAGGAGTTGAGCTTATTAATTTCTAAAGTTAATCATGCAAGGTCAACATCAGAGTCAGACTGATGTATGGGGGAAAGCCCTTAAAGTGGTGGGCAGGCATACTTCTTCAAGCCCTCCTGATCTGCTGCCTGAGGGCCATCCTGATGTTTGTCTAAGATTAATGCTGTCACACGGCCAGAATTCTATTAAAAAAAAGAACCATTTCTGACAAGGAGCTTAAGCTATGATGATTATGGATACTGAACTATAAGCTTTTATTAATTTCAGCCAACCAAGTTGCAAAGAAGCTTTACAAATTAAACAAATAAGGGGAATAAAATCTACCTCACAGATAGAAATTTCCAGATTATAACATTTCATTGTCAAGATTTAATAAAGGCCTAGGAAAAGCAACAGACAGCATCAGTCTCCAGACATACTAATAGGTTCATCATCCCAGCAATTAACTTTCAGGTCTGCCCAGTTTGTATAGATACCTGAGACTGCCATTAATGCTCATATCAGATTATTTTCCCCCTTGAAATTGAACTGGTACTTTCAGGTAAACTATTATTTATGTAAGGAAGATATTCATTAAAAAATTCTAAACTTAATCAGTTTACCCTTTGTTGATTCTAACAATTCGCAGAAATTAAAATGCACATAGAGATCTCTTGGTTCCAATAGTAGAAAAATATAAATAGGTCAGGGTTGATCTGTTGATATGCTCTGAATTTGGTGGCTTTTCTGGAAAATTTTCATTATCCTAATACAACCAAAAGTCAAGGAAGAAAACAAACAACTCAGATCATATTCTGCCCAGCAGGCAGGGAAGAAACAAAATCCTCATCAGGGAATTATCAAGGAAGAAATCCTGTAGAATAGCATTCTCCCATCCTGATGGTGTTCATCATCCTTTAAAAAACTTAGCTGTTTTCCCAAGACCTTGGAGTAGAATAGCTATAAGCCCCTGCAAGGGTTTGTGGTTATTTTTTTTTTTGGTGGTAGTGGGTAGTATGTGGAATTTATCTTATCTGTATGTACATATTTCCTCCACTGTTGTTTTTTTTCTTTTTTAAATGTACACCCCCCACCCCGGAAATTGCTTTGAATTCAGGCAGACTTTAAATCTAAATAAATAAGCTACACCCTGACCAAGACTGGAAGGCAAGCTATTATATATGGCTGTTTCATTTATTTGAAGTCCTGGAAGGAGGCAGAGCTGTGGATAGCAAGTTCACTGACCCAGCTGTTACAGCTACCTCACTTCAGATAAAAATGCATCAATGGCCATATTGCCAGATATAAAAAAATTCACAAAATTATAACCATGTTTGTTATTTTTTAATATATCTGGAAGGTGTCAATAAATAGTAACTTATTTATTCATAAAATTAAATAGACGAACTGTTTATAGTCCTTCATGTGCTTTTATTCAACATTAACTTTTAAAAAAATATAAAATCTATTTGCTTCACTCCACTGAGCATTTTAGTTTTGACGTGCTAAGGAAGGAAGGAAGGAAGGAAGGAAGGAAGGAAGGAAGGAAGGAAGGAAGGAAGGAAGGAAGGAAGGAAAAAAAATAAGTGTCAAGCCCACAGGCTTTATGAAAGAAATATATTATGAGTTTGGTCTGAAGATTAATCAATACGTTTATTACAATATATTTATTATAAGCAACCAGGGGTGTCCAAGAATGTCAAAAATGTCAAGATGACAGCTGTAGCTGCGTGTGCAAAGCTTCTCTTTTTATGTGCATTGTGAGTACAACACATGTTAAAATTGGAGGCAGGGCTTTGATAGTGTTGATATGGCCACCATTTTTATTTCTTGACCCCTCTGAAGAAGCTCCCTCTGAACAATGAAAATCTTTGACTGATTATAAAAACAGAAACTAGATTTTTTTTTTTACAACTTTACCTACTCTTAGGCTTTGCCAAAACCATAAATTCCTCTGGGATGATGACAAGTTGTATTTGTGGGATTTCAAATTATAGTAAAAGGAAATTGCACAGTGACCCTTCTTTACACTCAAGCAATTAGCAAACCATATAATTTTCTGTTGGAAGTAGAATGTATGTTGCCTTCAAGAAAAGGAGCAGCCTTTGGCAAATATAAATGACTCTTTTAAACTGAGCAGATTGATTTAGTTAGTAATTCATACCAATCATTACAGGATAAGTCATTAAATCCCCATATTAACCCGTTCTTCCCCTCCAGCAAATGCTTATGTTGAAAATGACACATGTCATTTGAACTCTCCTCAATATAAACATTAAATCATTTTAGAAAGCCCTTTGTTTTAGAGTGCTAGAGAACATTTGGAATTCCATGTAAGATTTCCACCCCACTCCACCCAATGTCTCATTCAACAGAAGCAAAAAACTGATAGTAATGCTTTGTACTTCACCAGACGCACAGTTTCTCCCAAATTAATGTTTTATTCCAGCTGTTCTTTGTTTAGGTTAGAGGAAAAATCATTCTCAAGAATGACAATGTTATCCAATCATGGTCTGTTCAGACCTTATATCTCTTCTTCTAGAAATGTGACCATCATGCTTTCATATTATTACTGAGATTTTATGTTTTGAGTTTTTCCAAGACTGAAATAACATAGAACAAATCTATCACATTTAAAACAAAAATATCTCTTTGATTTAAAGACATCTAATTATTATCATTTTTAGAATATAAAGGCTTAGGAATTCCAAATGATAGTTAAAATGCAGTATTGCAGTCTAACTCTGCCGACTACCAGCAGTTCAATCCTGATCAGCTTACAGTTGACTCTCCATCCTTCCAAAGTTGGTAAAATAAGGATCCAGATTGTTGGGGGCAATATGCTGACAGCCACTTAGAAAGGGCTATAAAACACTATGAAGCAGTATATAAGTCTAAAGTGCTAGTGCTATTACTGAAATCGACAAATGGGAACTACTCCAGGATTCTGTTGAAAGTGACATCTCTGTGGGAAATTCCCATTCCCATTGACTATAAACCATAACATTTATGAATGGATGCTTGTGTTTTAATATTGCATTTCCCAGCCTACAAGCCAGCAAGAATGCAACATAATGATTGTGATAACTATTCCTAAAACTGTATAACACATTGTCTTGATGCCAATTCAGACTGGCTTATGCATGTGGCATGTACATAAAGAGCTGAGTTTGTTTTGAAGGTTGAAGGTTGACTTGGTATTATTTGGACTCTGTTGGACTTTATTTTTTGGTGATACTGGGTCTTGTAGAGAGGCAGGCAATATTGCCAATTGATTGTCCATTGCCAAGTATCTACTGTGCTGTAGCAGTTTCATTTGGGGCTTTACCCAAAGGAGCTAAAGAGGGATCAAAAAAGTAAAGAAGGCAACCGCAAGCTTGTAATTTAAGTTTTGCCTCTTTTTTCCCCATGTGATTCACTTTAAAAAGGGGTAGGGATTAGAGCATGCTGTGGACTCCACAGACATCCTTAGTCTTTTTCATGGCCCCCTTGGAGCCCAGTTCAGAGGAGGAAGAGTTGGAACTGGGACCATCTGACAGAGAAGGCATGCCAGCGGTTAAGACCGATGTTGTCCCAGGCCCCACAAGTATTGGGGGAGGTGGTCAACCAGATGGAGAGGATCACACAGGGGAGGATTGGCTGCTGATCGACAGTGGTACTGATAGGCAGTCAATCTCTTCTGATGAGGAACAGCTATCTACTCCACTCGGGCAAGGAGACTGGAGTGTAGGCACGCTCAGAGAAGGGCTGCAAGGCTACTCGGGAGGAAGTCACCCCACCTCTCCTCACAAGGAACATCTGGAGGGTATAACTTAAGGAGAAGCTATGGAGAGTTAGGCTTTGCCAGGAACAATTGTTTGCTTTGGTTTACACATCCCCAGCTTTGACTTATGTCTGTTGCTGTTTGCCTTGCCTCATTTTGAAGATTGCTCTTCGCATTTTATTTTGGACCTAACCCTTCCCTTCTGGCCTGTGTTTGGCCTTTGCTTCATTGTGCCTTTGAAATTGCTTCTTGCCTGTGACTTGAGGACTACCATTGTCTTGTGCCTGGATTTTGCCTAGTGGATTGGACTTGGAACCCTGGACCTTGCCCTGTGAATATGCTTCTACCCTTTCTTTGGGCTAACGGGGCTGTGTTTGGGAGACTGAGGTTGGTTGCCTTCAGGGTAGTGTGGGAGTGGAGCCTTACTGGTCATTGGAGGGCCATTAGCTGGAACATTTGAGAAAAATAAAGAACTCTCTAGAGGCCTACCTTGACTTGACCACCTGGGTCATAACAGTCTTACTGATGGGGATCTCATTAATAAATGGGGCTTTACTGAAAATGGTCTTGAGTCCTGTGTAGATGTAATCTAATAATGGCATACAAGTTCTTCCTTTATGTAATCAGTTTTTAAGGAAGTAGCCGGAATGGGTGTGCTACTTACATGATGCCTATGCTAAATTATATGCTAGTTCCTCATTGTTGTACATTCTGCAATCATGAGAAAGAAACTCCATACTCCAACTCCAAACTCCACTGCTGTCAGCCCATTGGACAGCTTGCTTACTAAAGGGATAAAATTCATGCCTGTATATTTCATGATTGCATTATGAGCTGTGGTGGTACAGTAGTTTCCTTTAATTATAGGACTATTATGTTGCTCATGTAGCTCGCACCAAAGGAACCCATAGTCGAGACACAAAAGAAGACTGGGAATACCAGAACTATCAGAAACATCTAAAAGTATAAAATCTCTGGACCAGTGATGCTTGCTGTAAGAATATATGAGTTAATGGGCCTGTGAAAATGTAGGGAGCATGCAATATTTCTATACCACTTCAGCTCTCACAGTTTTATATATATGATCCTTCTTTCCAAATGTATAATCATACCACATACGCCACAATTATTTCCTTGAGGAGTTCTGCTCTTTGAAAAGTTTTGGAAGCATCTTTACTACATATAGTTTACTCTAATTATAGGAGATGCATACCTTCATTTGCCATGGTAAAAGGCATAACTAATAATGGAAGCTGAATGGATGGACATTACACTAAATCCATGTGTTGTTACTAAATATATACACATATATTGATGAGTAGGGCCAAGATGATGGAAGGGAAGAAAATTATAACAATAATGTTCAGAAAAGAAGAAAAAGAAGAAAGGAAAGCAAAACCCGCCTGCGTCTCAAGACAAGCCAAATTAGCCAGTAGCAATGGCCAAAATTCCAGAGTCATCATTGATCATATTGCCACTGATCCCTTGACCAGTGTGGGGATCAGATGGCTTTCTTTATGTGGCATACAAGGGAAAAGCATTGTGGCATGTTTCAAAGAATGCTATCTTATTTCAGTCTCCTTTCCCTGATAGAAAAGCTGCACTTTGCAAAGCTAAATGGGCTAATTACCTTTTGCAGTTCGAGAAGAGGGGAAATGGAAGAGTCTCGTCTTTATCTACTCTGATTTCAGAATCTGACATGGGCTTTTCAGTAACATGCATTCCTCTAAATATCTAATTAAATAACTTCTGAAAACAATTAGTAAATGACCAAACAATGTGTATACAGATTCTCTCTACCTATCCCCTACCCCCACTGACATCTCCATCCTAATTCATGTTCCTAAAAATTAAAGATGAAAAGAAACTTTGATATGGAAAACCCAAGCACTAGGCTATAATTTCTATATAAACCTTATGAGAAATTTCTTTCTTTTAACTTTGGCAGTTCTTCTTATGGTAATGGATAACCAACTTTCTCCTACTTGCAGAAAACCCATAACAAGGCAGCTTTCTTGTTTTCAGCTTTGTCTGTCATTGGGCATCCATGTTGCAGATAATCTGTAGATTAATAAAGATAGTGCAATTGAGTCTATCAGAAGAGGAAACGAAAACAAATGTGCAGAGATGGAAGTTTCATTCTTATTCCACATAAAATGGACAAGGCTTGGGAAGCCAAGGAAGGGAAGAGAAGAGGAGAGGAGAGGAGAGGAGAGGAGAGGAGAGGAGAGGAGAGAAGAGAAGAGAAGAGGAGGACATGGACCTGGACTCTGATTGGGCAATACCAACCGAAATGACAGGGGCGGGTCTTAGTCCTATTGTGCGGGAGGAGTTTGAGCCAGTGACTCCTGAGGAAGTGAACAAGGCTGTAGGGGCGATGAGCTCCTCCACTTATTTGTTGGACCTGTGCCCCTCCTGGCTGGTTTTGGCCAGCAAGGAGATGACACGAGGCTGGCTCCAGGCTTTAGTTAACGCGTCCTTGAGGGAGGGGTCCTTCCTGCAGCCATTAAAGGAAGCGGTTGTAAGGCCCCTCCTCAAGAAGCCTTCCCTGGACTTAGCAGAATTAAAAAAACTTTCATCCAGTCTCCAACCTACCCTTTGTGGGAAAGATTGTAGAGAAAGTGGTGGCACTTCAGCTCCTGCGGTCATTGGATGAAACGGATTATCTGGACCCTTTTCAGTCCGGCTTCAGACCTGGCTACAGCACGAAAACTGCCTTGGTCATGCTGATGGATGATTTCTGGTGAGCCTGAGACAGGGGTCATTCCTCTATCTTGGTGCTACTTGACCTCTCAGCGGCTTTCGATACCATTGACCATGGTATCCTTCTGGGGCGACTAAGAGAGCTGGGAGTGGGAGGCACTGTGTTGCAGTGGTTCACCTCCTATCTCTCTGGTCGATCACAGTTGGTGCTGGTAGGAGGACAGAGGTCGTTCCCTAGGCCCCTTGTCTGTGGAGTGCCTCAGGGCTCGGTCCTCTCTCCCCTCCTATTTAACATCTACATGAAACCACTGGGTGAAATCATCCGACGACATGGGGTGGGATATCAGCAATATGCTGATGATACCCAGCTGTATATCTCCACCCCACGTCAGTTCAGTGAGGCGGTAGATGTGATGTGCCAGTGCCTGGAGGCTGTGAGGACCTGGATGGAAGTCAACAGGCTCAGACTTAACCCAGACAAGACCGAATGGCTCTGGGTATTGCCCCCTAAAGACTACGTCGATTGTCCATCCTTGGTTCTGTGGGAAGAGAAAGTGCCCCCCTCAAAACCTGCTCGCAATTTGGGTGTCCTTCTAGACTCACAGCTGAGATTGGAATAACATCTGACAGCTGTAGCTTGGGGGATCTTTGCACAGGTTCGTCTGGTGCACCAATTGCGACCCTACTTGGATCAGAAGGTTCTCCTCACAGTCCCACCCTATTGGCCTTCCGGAAAGCGGTGAAGACCTGGCTCTTCTGGCAGGCCTGGGGCCATTGATCTCGTTATAGTGATCTTGTGAGACCCGGCCATAAATTGGAGTGTATGTGTTTTAACGTTTTAATGTTTTAACGTTTTAATGTTTTAATGTCTTCTTTTAACTTTTGTATGGGAAATTGTTGCATTGTTTTATTCTCTGTTGTAAGCCGCCCAGAGTCCCTTGGGAGTTGGGCGGCATAGAAATGCAAATAAATAAATAAATAAATAAATAAATAAATAAATAAATAAATAAATAAGAGAAGAAGCAGGAGAGAAAAGACAGGGGATGTACCAATTCCCCCCTTTAGTGTACTTTTCAATTTACTGGGAACACTTCATTCTCATAAGGTGGGTACAGTTCATCTGCCTATATTTTAGGTTACTATAGGGATAGAACTGGGGTGGGTTCTACTTACCTTTACTACTGGTTCGCAACGGGATCGTGTGCACTTCTGCGCATGTGCAGTTCATCTATTATGATGTCTGGGTAGGCGGGCGGAGCATCCCGCTGCTTTTTCTACTGGTTCACAAGAACCGGACAGAACCAGGTGCAACCCACCACTGTGATAGAAGCCAAAGAATTTTACAAGATTACTTGAAGAAGAATTTGTATTCTTCACCTTATTAATGCTTGCCAATCCAATCAGATGCCAACTGATGTTCATGCTATGTAGTCAACCAGAAGAATACCTCAGAAACCTGGAGAGAAAAGATCAGCAGATGAAAAGAACTTGCAAGGACTTCCATGGTACTGTAGGTTCCATGAACCTATTCCAACATTCATATTTACACACATATGGACACGCATACAGTATATATATGCATACATATATGCAAATTACAGAATTACTGAACCAAGTTATAATGAACTTTCTAGAATGAGAGAATGTCATTGTTACAGACATTTATTATTGTTTTGGCAGTTCAGAATAAGCTTAATACCGTGTGGAAAATTGCAATCTGTCTCTAAAGCAACCAACATTAGGGTGACTATGTCTTGCCTTATTTCCATTCTGTGACTGTGAATAATTAGCTCAATTGTTTTTCAAAATACACACACTGTTAGAAGTTGATTTGACTGAGATCACTAGGTTCAATTCAAGATACCTAGAAATATATTACTATTCCTTCCACCAGTGACCAGTTGATTAGCATAGACTGAGCCAAGTTTCTAAACAGCAAAAATATTATTATAGGAAAAATAAAAACTGATAGCACCACCAGAATGACTGAAAAGGAAAAAATGGGGGGGGGGATTATTCTTTCTCACTGAAAACAATATTCACTTTAGTTGCAACTAATCAGTACAGAGGCCAAATTAACCTGTCTTGTGAAAGTTTCACAATTTAGAGTAGCCCAAAGTTGCATGAAGTATAGGAAACGTTAAGTTGTAGCAAATATATTTAGATGCCATGACTGAGAGAACCAAGTCCTATGAATCACTCAAGACGGAGATGATTGCCAGTCATGGCCTTTGAAAATTAGGTTAATTTGAGGAATGCCATTAAGTAACCTTGGGCTCATTCTGAAATACCCTGACACACAAGTCTGGAATTATGTGTGGATGCAGATATGTGTCATAATATTAAACAAGCAACATATTAAACAAGCAACAAGCTGAGCTAAGTAAAAGAGAACCTTATAGAGCAGAGGTGGGCAACTATGGCCCTTTTATGACTTGTGGACTTCAATTCCCAGAATTCCTGAGCTAACATGGCTTGCTCAGGAATTCTGGGAGTTGAAGGCCACAAGTCATAAAAGAGCCATAGTTGCCCACCCCTGGTATAGAGACAGCTAGTATAACTTTCAGAACCAGGCATGTTAAGGGGAAGAGAAGACCATTTATTATCTCTACATATCTGCTGAAAACTTCCCAGGTCATGGTAAAAATAATGAAGGAGGTAAATGTATCTGGCAAAATCCTGGTGCCATATTCTCCCAGGCATATGTGCAGCTAAGCAAGAGGCAAAGGGCATTGTTGGCGTTTTTCCAAGATTTGTTGTGATACCAAAAGTGGAAGGAAGTGTGCCTACATTAATCCCGTCACATTTCAGTGCATTAAGAATGAACTAAGATGGGTTTTGGTAAAATAATTATGTTACTTCCTTACTTGCCCCCTCCACTGTTTGATAGCTTGCCATAACTTAATTTTGTATGTTTCAGGTTGGTGTGCTGTGGTAGGAGAAAACATTTTAAAAACACTGAGCTGCCTTCCTACATGGGGAAGAATATACTCAGTGTAGACCTTTTTAATTTTAAACATCTGACGGCTGTTGCCAGGCGGACTTTTGGTCAGGTTCGCCTGATACGCCAGTTGCACCCCTTTCTTGATCGGGATTCCCTGTGCACAGTCACTCATGCCCTCGTCACCTCTCGCCTGGACTACTGCAACGCTCTCTACATGGGGCTCCCCTTGAAGAGTACCCAGAGGCTCCAACTGGTCCAGAATGCGGCCACACGGGTAGTCACGGGAGCCACATGGCACTCCCATACAACACCTCTCCTGCATGAGCTGCACTAGCTCCCAGTGGGCTTCCGGGTGCACTTCAAGGTATTGGTTATTACCTTTAAAGCGCTCCATGGCATAGGACCTAGTTATCTTCGAGACCGCCTGCTGCTACCGACGGCCTCCCATTGACCTGTGCGCTCCCACAGGGAGGGCCTCCTTGGGGTGCCATCAGCCAAACAATGTAGGCTGATGACCCCCAGGGGGAGGGCCTTCTCTGTGGGGGCACCTACCCCCTGGAATCAGCTGCCCCCAGAGATAAGGAGAATCCAAGACCTTCAGCCGTGCCCTTAAAACCTTCTTTTTCCAGCAAGCCGGGCTGGCCTATCACTTTTTAAAATGTATGTATGTATTTATTTATTTGTTTGTTTGTTTGTTTGTTTGTTTGTTTGTTTGTTTGTTTGTTTGTTTTTTCAAACTTCTATACCGCCCTTCTCCTTTCGGACTCAGGGCGGTGAACAGCCAAGATAAAAAACATTTATACATAAAAGTTAAAAATAGATTTAAAATAATTAAATAAATTTGGCCCGTAATTTAAAACTTATCAATTAAAATCCATATCAAATTTTAAAACCAACCATAAAATCAGAACAGTCCGGCTAACTGAAAAAAATAGGTTTTTAGGGCCCGATGAAAAGTCCGGAGGTCGGAGATCACTCGTATCTCTGGGGGTAGATTGTTCCAAAGGGTAGGTGCCACCACAGAGAAGGCTCTCCCCCTGGGGGTCGCCAGCCGACATTGTCTGGCCGACGGCACCCTGAGGAGGCCCTCTCTGTGGGAGCGAACTGGCCGGTGGGAGGCAATTGGTGGCAGAAGGAGGTCCCGTAAGTACCCCGGCCCTAAGCCATGGAGCGCTTTAAAGGTGATCACCAACACCTTGAAGCGCACCCGGAAGTCCACCGGAAGCCAATGCAGCTCGCGCAGGAGAGGAGTCACATGGGAGCACCCCGTCGCTCCCATAATCCCCCGCGCGGCCGCATTCTGCACCAGTTGGAGCCTCCGGGTGTACCCCAAGGGGAGCCCCATGTAGAGAGCGTTACAATAGTCAAGACGAGAAGTGACGAGTGCTTGAGTGACCGTGCGTAGGGAGTCCTGATCCAGAAAGGGGCGCAACTGGCGTATCAGGCGAACCTGATAAAAAGCCCCCCTGGCCACGGCCATCATATGCTCTTCTAAAGACAGCCGTGCGTCCAGGAGGACACCCAAGTTGCGGGCCCTTTCCGTGGTGGCCAATGATTCGTCCCCAATAACCAGCGATGGCGTCAGCTGGCTATACCGGGACGCCGGCAGCCACAGCCACTCAGTCTTGGAAGGGTTGAGTTGAAGCCTGTTTCTCCCCATCCAGACCTGCACGGCCTCCAGACACTGGGACATCACTTCCAAGGCATCGTTGGGATGGTTTTTAATTGTTTGTTATTGTTTTTAATCATGGGGCCAAATTTATATATATCTTTTTAATTGTATTTTAATGTTTGTAGTTTATGCTTTTACTTGGCTGTTCACTGCCCTGAGTCCTCAGGGAGAAGGGCGGTAAACAAATTTAAAAATAAAATAAAATAAAATAAAATAAAATTGATATAAAGTCCAAAACAATGGAATAGTATCTGATCTCTTTCTTCCTCGTTAAATGGAAAGACACATACAACTATACAAGCACAAGTGGGAACTACAGAAAAATGTGCAGAGCATATACAGTCAGGTCCAGAAATATTGGGACATCGACACAATTCTAACATCTTTGGCTCTATACACCACCACAATGGAGTTGGAATGAAACAAACACAATGTGCGTTAACTGCAGACTGTCAGCTTTAATTTGAGGGTATGTACATCCAACTCAGGTGAACGGTGTAGGACTTACAGCAGTTTGCATATGTGCCTCCCACTTGTTAAGGGACCAAAAGTAATGGGACAGAATAATAATCATAAATCAAACTTTCCCTTCTTAATACTTGGTTGCAAATCCTTTGCTGTCAATCACAGCCTGAAGTCTGGAACACATAGACATCACCAGACGCTGGGTTTCATCCCTGGTGATGCTCTGCCAGGCCTCTACTGCAACTGTCTTTAGTTCCTGCTTGTTCTTGGGGCATTTTCCCTTCAGTTTTATCTTCAGCAAGTGAAATGCATGCTCAATGGGATTCAGGTCAGATGATTGACTTGGCCATTGCATAACATTCCACTTCTGTCCCTTCAAAAACTCTTTGGTTGCTTTTGCAGTATGCTTTGGGTCATTGTCCATCTGCACTGTGAAGCGCCGTCCAATGAGTTCTGCAGCATTTGGCTGAATGTGAGCAGATAATATTGCCCGAAATACTTCAGAATTCATCCTGCTGCTTTTGTCAGCAGTCACATCATTAATAAATACAAGAGAACCAGTTCCATTGGCAGCCATACATGCCCACACCATGACACTACCACCACCATGCTTCACTGATGAGGTGGTATGCTTAGGATCATGAGCAATTCCTTTCCTTCTCCATACTCTTCTCTTCCCATCACTCTGGTACAAGTTGATCTTGGTCTCATCTATCCATAGGATCTTGTTCCAGAACTGTGAAGGCTTTGTTAGATGTTGTTTGGCAAACTCTAATCTGGCCTTCCTGTTTTTGAGGCTCACCAATGGTTTACATCTTGTGGTGAACCCTCTGTATTCACTCTGGTGAAGTCTTCTCTTGATTGTTGACTTTGACACACATACACCTACCTCCTGGAGAGTGTTCTTGATCCGGCCAACTGTTGTGAAGGGTGTTTTCTTCACCAGGGAAAGAATTCTTCGGTCATCCACCACACTTGTTTTCCATGGTCTCCCAGGTCTTTTGGTGTTTCTGAGCTCACCGGTGCATTCCTTCTTTTTGAGAATGTTTCAAACAGTTGTTTTGGCCACGCCTAATGTTCTTGCTATCTCTCTGATGGGTTTGTTTTGTTTCTTCAGCCTAATGATGGCTTGCTTCACTGATAGTGACAGCTCTTTGGATCTCATCTTGAGAGTTGACAGCAACAGATTCCAAATGCAAATAGCACACTTGAAATGAACTCTGGGCCTTTTAGCTGCACATTGTAATTGGGGTAATGAGGGAATATCACACACCTGGCCATGGAACAGCCGAAAAGCCAATTGTCCCATTACTTTTGGTCCCTTAACAAGTGGGAGGCACAGATACAAACTGCTGTAAATCCTACACCATTCACC